CGCAACAGAGACTTGCAGTCCACGGGTAGTACTTCAGCACAACCACTTCACTACAGCTCAGGTAAGTTATGCCCTACCATGCATGACCTACTGGAACCCACTTCCTGGATCTGAAGCATATAGGGTCGCTACAAGTAGATGTGGCACGTTCACGGCACAAACGACACGGCCTGCACCATCTCAAACCAAGCAACAAGCATCAGCAGTGGCCCAGCCGTTGCCAGCAGGAAAGCCTTGTGCCCAACTACAGCTGCTGAGATGCCGCTGATGGGGGATGGTCCGAGCCAGCCCACTTTGATGCCCCACATGCGTTCACTTTTCAAATCGAGTACAGGAAACGTGTCGCTGTGGTCAACCGCTCCATTACTTGTCCATCCCAGCAACTGACTTCCAACTTGTACAAATCGGGTCCGGTTCACCCGCCAACCAAACGCAGAAGGATAGATACGGTAGAAAGGAGATGGACAGGACGTCAGGTCAGTCGTAGAAACAAGACCCCCATCTTGGCCGAAGCGCCACGACGCATTACAAGATGGGGCCTCGCAGAAGCACAGTCGATGACTGCTGCCAGCTGTGTCCGGGGCCACTGGCAGGTCAAAGTGGGCCAAGTCGAAACCTGCTGACAATTTGTTCGGGTTCTGCGCGCGCTCTTGCCAACTTGTTGGCCAGTCTTTTCGATCAGGGTCACCGCACTTTGATGAGCTGAGTATGACCACGGCTCGGTCCTCCTTGGAGAGCTCCTCCCCCCGGATGCTGGCACGAACCCCAACTATTCCAGGAACTAGCTTTCCATCCTTCTGAGAGAAACCGCAGAGGTTGCAAGAAGCTTGGATGGACCGCAGCGTCCCTGGCCCGATCTGCGGATGGGGGTTGTGCAAAGGCAAGGCTGACGTTAAGTTTCGCAGCTTGTTTGTGCGCGTAGCGTTGAAGAGGCTGAACAGGCTGTCAACACCAGCTGGATGGGAGAAAGGCGGAAACATATCCAAGTAAGGCGCGGACAGTGGCAGATTGTGCGGCTTTTGAACATAGTACACGGGATCAATGCTGACACCGTACATGGAAAGATTGTGGACTTGCCTTGCCACACCAAGCCGCTGGGATCCATTCCAGTTGAATATCTTTTCCTCCACCGACATGATCCAATCCGCAAACTTCTTCTTCTGAGAAGAAAGCAATTCTGTGTACTCAGTCTGGTTGGCAGAGTGCTGCAGGAAGTTCAAGACGATGCTCAGGTGGGGATAGAGGTGAATGCCAAAGGAACGTCGAAGCTCTGTCAACATGAACTCCCTGTCAGCTGTGCCACGCTGCCACGCTGCATTCATGACCCAGACAATGGTGTCGACATGGCCATGTCCAGCCTCCAGGACGTCATGCATCGTCCGCTTCCACAGATCATCATCTGTGCCCTGACCTCGCGTGTCGCCCCGGCCCGGAGTGTCAATCCACTCGACCTCAGGAAGTATCTTGCCGTCACCGAAAGCCCGCCCACTCACCCGTATCACCTCAGTGGTGTTGGACTCAGTGCCTCTGCTGGGCGTGCATTTCGCGAGGTCGCCGGTCATCCACCGGCAAAGCTCTGACTTGCCGGTACCTGTAAGCCCCACAGCCAGGAAGGTCAAGCGCTCCTGCACCACGTCGTTGGTTGTGTCCTGTTGCTCGTGGTAAGCCTGCCACAGCAGCTCATCGCGCTTCTTCAAAGCTCTCTGAAGCTTCTGTCGCACTTCCTCTGCCCGACCGGGCTCCAACTCCTGCAGGCTGTCCAGCTCAGCTTCCAGAAGTGACGTCTCCAGGACAAGTTGTCCCAGCCGCTCTCGGAGGGTCACTACAGACACGCTCACAGTGTAGATGCTGCTGAGATCTTGGGAACTCCTGGGATCTTTGGGCAGCAGCTTTAGCTGCAGGGTCAAGTTGGAATAGTCAGCCACGTCCGTCTCAGCAACTAGTACATCTTGCGGCTGCAGGTGCACGGACTCCGTGTCGTCTTTGCAAATCTGCACCTTGGGCCGGGCCGGAAAGCCGAAACCGCCCAGGTAACGTACTATATAGGGTACTAGAGCCCCCAGGGCCCTATAGCAGGCACCTGGAGGCTTAGGGAGAGCTTGAAGAACATAGGGATCAAGTTGTAGGCGGGTGCGAGGAAATGTGTTGGGTCTTGACTGTGTGTCTGATGTTGAGGATGTTTCAAAATTGCAGCCTGGCTTCTGCATTGCACGAAGTCGCTGAGTACTCCAGCTTCATGTGAGAGTGGTCCAGGCCAAACGCCACCCGTACCTCACATTCAAAACCCCATGAAAACACACAGCATTTTAGACAAACGCTTACTAGAGTGCTGTCACTAAGTATACTAGGCAGTATATTGTGGCTCACTATATCGCAGTCTCAGCATATATGAGAACGATGCAACCTTGTCGAATTCCCCGCCAGTCTCTGAAATGGGACCTCGTGAGCAGCAGTAAGAAACAACCTCACGACGGTATTCAGGCCAAGCCACAGAAAGCTCTTTTAACTTCTCCGAACGCAGGACGCCGACGCGGTAGAGCGGGTGTGGGCTCTGGTGCTGCAGAAATTGCTCCTTGCGCTGTGCTCGCAACGTAACGTGGGCCCTCCCTTTCCCTCCCACCGGCAACGAGTAGGCGTGTGCTATGGTACAGCATGACCGGCATAACTCGAAACGTTGCAGCATGGTGCAATGCAGTTCCGGTGCTGCATTGCCTGTACTTACAGTCTGCGGTGTGGCATACAGCTTCACGAATTCAACTCCTGCGAAACGGCGAACGAATGACTGCTGCAGGGTCATCCGGTACAAGAGGGCCAAAACTATGATAAAAACATTTCTTCGACAGAGAACAGTCTTGATCCAGCAGAAGAGCTCGAATGGGTCTCAAAACCATATCACTACTATGTCACTCTCACTGACCCAGAAACCAGCATTTTGCAGCGGAGGCTCTGCCTGTGGTGGCTGCAACTCCGGCTTTACGAAGCTGAGTGCCAGCACTGTGAAGGAGTAGGCGCTCGATCGCACTCCCAGCCTTGCTACTTCTTCGCTCGAATTGCAAAGCTGGTCTGTGCGAACATGAAGTCAGTGAGGCGTCTCTGCTTTTGCAAGGAGATATAATGTAAGTGTACGCGGGAGGATCCCGCTATTGCTGCTGCGGTTCCTACTCGTCTCCGCTACTGCTACTACTACTACTACTACTGCTACTGCTGCTGCTACTACTACTTACTACTACTACTACTACTACTACTACTACTACTACTTCTACTACTACTACTACTACTACTACTACTACTACCTTTTCCAATCTGATGCCTGAAGCCCTGCTTGTTCAGAGATGTAAGGAAGCTAGGGTTCGGGTTGATATCGTGTAAGGTTTAGGACAAACTCCCACAACTATACGACCACTGATAAAGCCAGATCTACACTCCCCGATTCCCTGCCACGGGCCGGAAAGCAGGAGCCAAATGTTAGCTTTGCCATCAGGAGAATACAGGTTGTGCATTGAAGGATGGACTCAACACACTCACGCATTCTAGGCCCTACTGTAGGCCAAACTGAACAAGGCCTTCTTACCTGCCGGCCAGCTGCAACTTGATGCTGCAGGTGCCAAAGGAAGATGCCGCGATCGTGGCCGTCAGGCGTACCTGGAAATCAGCGAAACTATCCAGACTTGGCATTTCTCCACAAGCTCGTCCTCCTCTCTGAATATGCCGTATTATGAACCGCTGCTCCGACCTTCCGTTGCAATCCCAGGCCGATACATCAAAGCTCCAAGATTCTTCAATTGCCCAGCCTGGCCTTGTCCGAGCGCGGCTGTGGCTGCAGAGGGGCGCATGGATCCTGTCGACGTGACAGACTAGCATACAGCACAACATTGTTTCACATAGTGAGCAATACAGCATAGCTTTATCAGATGTAGCAACGTCATGCCGGTGCAGCCGTACGCCACACTGGACACTGTACTATCAACAGGCTGCAGAATTTTGGCTGTGATCATAATAAATATATTCACCTAAGCTTACACTACGATACGGAGATACTCAAATCCAGCATGCTGTCTGAAGCTCCCACGGGACTCCAGGATTGAGACTTGTATAACTGGCTTACACTACTGCACGCTTTGGTACTGTAAGGATGATAATCCAACAACAGAGTGCCCTTTGTGCCTGGCCACAACCCTGGCACATCAATATTAAGTACATGTTTGACGGTCCTTCGGTACAAAACAGGAGTGAAGTATAGCATGCTTCAGTCTACTACTGCATATTCCCTAGACAAGTACACCGCTGCTCACCGTTACTCCCTAACCCCATCCACACCCAAGAATGGGGCTCCTGCCGCTTGCAGAAGAAGTACTGTGAAGCCTGGCCCAAATCCACTTCAAAGTTCCTGGGATGCTGTGCTTGGCTTGTCGGGGAGGGTCCTGCAGGTCCAAGCAGCAGCCGAATTGCGGAAACAAGGAGAGCTGAATGCTTCGCGTCAGGGAGGGCTGCATGGCACTGCGCATCCCTCACGTGGCCACTGCAGCTTTAGGCTCAGAGTCAGCTGCTGTGACCGCTCATCCAGCAGCGTGACGTAGTAGTGGCGTTCGGAAGGATTGAAATCCGTGGCCAGCGACCCGCCGATGACTTCGACATCTTGGAGCCGAGGAGATTGGAGCAAGCAGTAGCCTGAGCTTGGCTACCGAGTACAGAGTCTAGGGACATTGGGTCACGGCTTCGGGCTCAGGGTTCCAGGCTTAAGGTTGCGACTACACGCAGGGGGCTTCCTTTGTCCTGATTGCAACTGTACCAGAATTTACTGTGCCATATGCCATGTATCATCACACAGACTATTAGTATGACTGAAGAACATACTATGTGCTCATGCAGGAAAAGTATAGTCGCACGTTGTATACTAACAGTACCATTCCAGGAACAGGCAGAACCAAGGCTGAAGCCTAGTTGACACATGCTCGGTGATCCGGGCCGCGTGCATGTGTTCACATATTGCAAGACTACATATAGTATCCGAAAAGCATAGAAGCATTGCTGTGCTGCAGTAAAATCCGGGGTAGACGATTTTGCGTTGCAACGATGCAGACTATACTGTGGTCTACGGTCCACGGTGTGTACAGTTCACGGCAATTTCTGCATCTCGCGGATGAGCTCCGGAATCTGGGCTCAGAGGGCCAAGCAGCTGGCCATGGCGCAGGGCACGGCAGCATTCAGCAAGCTGAAGTAGATGATCATGAAGCCATGCCCAAAGCGAAGGTACTTGCGAGCAGGGAAAGCGTGCGTCATCAGATTGGTCCTGAGTTCTCCAGTTCTCCAAAGGCTTATCTACAATACGCCGACTACCTCGGACAAGCGTCTGATCGCTGCAGCCTGATACTGCACTATAGTGAACTTATCATGAACTTAAGACTGACTTAAGCTTCAGCGACATGCTAGTAAGAGTCTTATAAGAGGTGAAATGCAGCTCAATAAATGCAAATGAAAAACAGGTCACAACCTCTTGGCGCAAACTATACTACAGATTACCAAAGCAGGCTGCCAGCTGAGCGGACATGCTCATGACACCCTGCCAGGCTCCTATGGGTGAAGGTTCGCGAAAGCTGCATGCACTGACCCCGAGCCAAACTCCGATGCTCAAGCATTGCAGAGTGTACTTTAACGTAGTCTCCCTTTGTAGGGTATGCAGCAGACTGTGCAAGCATCGAGTACAGTGTGAAATCCTATGGGAAGCAACCACGAACTCAAGACATAGACCTCTGAGAGCCGCCAGGCTTCCTTTGATCCAGCCTTGGCCGCAGAAACGATCTTGTATTTAGCTCTTTGGCGGCGAGTAGGGGAGCAAATCGGGGATTCGCAACTATACAATGCTGCTCAACACTAAAGCATACTGTAGCTCCACATGTCTTTTGCACCTCGAGCGCCTTCGATTCCTGGCAGAACCCTCCACCGTCAAACACGTCCAGCTCCTCAAAACCTTGGATCACTAAAGTAGGACTTCCCCCTTTGGGGCTGCTTCCTCCGTGGCCTCGTGATGTAGGCAAGGCGAGTCCTAGCTTCATCTCAGGAGCAGAAGCTCGTCTTCCTTGCTCAACGGCCATCGAAAGCCAGCCAACCAAGATGTGCCCTCACGCAGCATCGCGTGCTTTTGGGTGTCGGGCTGCAGCCGTAACACAGGGTTCAAGGGGTATGATTGTTCGCGAGATGATCACATATCCTGCAGCACATCATAGCAGCAACATGTCTTGTATGATGGTTCACCGAAGCATCGTGTAACGTGCTTTCATATACTGTTCGTCTCCAGGTCAGTTGACTGTTTACGTATACCCTCCTTGCTGAACTGCGAACTCGCCACTGCAGATTGAAGTGGGGGAGTTGGGGGTTCCGGACACGAACGCCAGGCCTCCTCCGGCGAAGTCAAGCCCAGGCGGCTTAGAAACTCTGCCACCGTCAACTCTTCCGCTGCGGATTGCGTGGGCTTCAGCTCATCCCAGACCTGTTCACAGGCCAGGAGTCGCGGAGGGCTGGAGAGCGGACCAAAGGCCAAACGTTAATGTAACGCAACACCACTGCACAAAGATACTGTATGCTCAAACGAGCTATATGGCATTGCCGCAGTTCATACGCGTCGAATCTCAACCTCCGCAAGGTGCCTCACCGGCCATGAGGCCAATGCTCTTGAAGTTCGAGTTCGCCTCGAGTACCGGGCAGGAATTTCGGAAAGTAAGGGGCTCATAGGCATTCACTCGTTGAGCCTTAAACCCAAAGGCCATCATTCCTTCGAAGCCGGACGAAAATGTAATATTGCAAGCAAGCGGCCCAAATAAGGAGGCCTGAGGATGGCCAGGGGCAAAACTGAATATGCGTCATTTTCGAAGTATACGATTGTACACTGTTGTACTCTGTAGTAACTCCTTTAGTGTATGCCAGGGCATACTAAAGTAGTGTTACATATATATATATATATACACATGAAAACATGCCATAGCATGACGAAGTACCTCCAAAGTATATTTTACTGTGTATGTGCTTCAGCTTGCTACCAGTACTGTTGTACTTTCTCACAGCACTATAGGGGTAAGCTTTCAGGTGGGCGCTTCAAAAGTTTACCCTGCGAAACTAGGGAGAAGCTTCACGCTCACCTGAATTGCGACTCCTGGGTGTCGGGTGTGCTAGGCCATCAAACCAGTCCAAAGGCTACCCAGCTGCCAGCGCTTGAGCCTAACCAGGCCAGAAGCTTCCTTGCAGCAGGCAGGTTTCGGATCGCGCGGGCCGAATAATGATTGTCAAGTACCTTCTAGTTGGGTGCCGTGGCCGTCGGAGTTGCTTTTTTGGGGGGCAGCTGCCCCGTGCACGTAGGCCACACGAAGTTAGGGCTCGCATCAGCCCCATGAAATCCTGACAGGCTTCGGGCTTGGGTTTGGGACCTTGCCAGCCACTGGGCCAATCTGCAAGGAATTGTGTATAGATGTTCTCGAAGGCAAGATCCCATATGGTCGCACGGCAGAGCCGCTGAAAGCTGAGGTCTCTCATGATAAGACCCTTGAACAAAAGTAAACTCGCACCTGTTACGGACTTTCGGGGGATGCGCAGCGAAATTTGAGACGACTACCAACTAGCGTGTTGCCGACAAGCATCAAAGGCTTCTCGTACAAGTGGGCGCAAAGCACCACTGTGGAAATTGCACTTCCGCATACACCTCAAGTCAAGACACGGAACAAGGTGTCTGGCTCGTGCTGGAAGACTGTATTTAGGGCAATCAATATGAACCGAAGGAGAAAATAGTGCTGCTGCCCCAAGGCACAAACCTTACCCACCTGGGATCCTAGCACATTCGACAGGCAGGAGAAGCGGATCTTGACCCGCTGCTGGATGGCCACCTGAGCCATGCGCTTGGCCCATAAACATAGACAAACCCGAAATCCTGCCCTCCCGGTTTTGGAAAGCACAGCTCGCCTTGACCAGAAGTGCTCGCAGATGGGCCGCCAAGCCTGCAAGAGAAGTTTTCCGGGTTTTGCTTTGGGGAGTATACTACAATATACTGCTGTATATTCCCATACTACGGTAGTTGAGGAGTTCGGTTGGCCTCGAGGCTTTCTGAATGGAGCACAGAACCCAAATTGCACTACAGTATAATTTAGTGCAATGCAGTATACATGCTACAGTACTCCTGCTACCAATGCTTTCTGAGTGCCACCGCCTGCAGAGACAAGCAACTCCGTGTTGGCCGCCACAACACCTGAGTCACTGCAGCACATTACCAGAACAAACTTGAAACCCCCCGACAACGTCCTGATCGTAATGTTCTCGCAATTCTAGAGTTGCAATGCATTTTGACATCAAGGGTGCATTGTTCTCTGCATCAACAAACTTGCGGTCCAAGGAACAAAAGCAGGCAACCAAAGGTATGCCAGGTTGTTCGCCGGCCAAGACCCACTTGGTTGCAAGCCAGCCCTGCGAAAGGGTGCTGGCAATCCTCAGCTCAAAACACTACTTTCCACTCCATTGCGGTCAAGAACACGACGAGACCCTTTCGCATAGAATGGCCAGCTCTATTGCGCATGCCGGCCTCTGCTTTGAGAGTCAACAACCGCCTCGAGGTGTTGACTGAGACTGTTGATTTTTTGCCCCTGGCCCGCGTAGAACTTGACCATAATAATTTCTGCTGCAAGAAAACGTAGTATCATTTTGCTGCACGTACGAAACTATGCATACTGTACTGTGCTCCGTTATACTTTGCCATGTTACAAGTCTATTCTCAGGCCGCGGCTGGAGCTGCACATTCACAGCAGCAAAGACCAGGAACCTCAGCCGCTCCAGTGGAAGACCGGGGATAGTTTCGCATCGCTAAATCGCATCGTACATGTACTCTGCTAAAGTGGAGTGTACTATGGTATAGTACTGTGAAGTAGAATAGAGTAGTGTAGAGCAGAGTAGTACAAGACACTCCCTACTAAAGGCATACTACATTATGGCTTGGCGGTACCATACCATAGAGCATCATGTAAGGAGACTGCTGCGCAACAGTGTAGAAGTCCAGCCAAGGCACTGGGCATTGGGACATTCACGGGTCTCGAGGCAGGTTGAAATCGCGAAATCTCGCCGGCGCAGAGCATCATAGGCCTCGGCAAACAAAATCGTCTGCGAGAGCCTCGGCAACCTTTGCCTTGAGCTTTACAACCTGCATGTCACCGGCCAGTGCTCCGGGAGCAGGTTGCTCAAAAGTACCGATGCCACGATGCTGCAGTACTAATTTCGACATGGCACTATGATCAGGCTTTCTCTGTCTCTCGCTCTCTCTCTCTCTCTCTCTCTGTATATATATATATACACACACACGCATACATATATACACACACATACAATCGCCAAAAGTTTGTCCTGAGGCCAACGGGCAGCCATGACGATGGCGCGAAGCAGAAGATTGACAAAGCACCTCAGTCTGCTTTTAAACTTAAACCAACAAGAGTAAGTGACGGTCTTGTGAAGAGGATGTTGCCCTTTCGTGCCAACGGGGGGGAACTGTAGGTTACACTACACTGCAGTACAGCATAGCCCAATGCGAGCCATAAGACTACGGGACGCATTATGGCTGGCTGGCAGCCTTGGACTTAAGAGGTACAACTACAATCGGGGAAGGGCAGCGCATGGAAACACAAAGAAGATGCTGCCGGACATGAGGTCGGTGACACACCCCAAACGAGGTAGAGAACGCGCTCGCTTGACCACGCGCTTGAACCTTAGCTGCTGAATCTGATGAAGCTGTAAATAAACTTTGAACCGGAGCTGTGTCTAATAGCACGAGACTCGTGCAACAGTGACGGTCTGTCATTACATCGAACTACAGTGTAACGTACTATTATAGCACCACTAAACAGCAGCTTCTTCTTCAGCTTAGCATCTCTCAGGCTCCCCAATCTGCCACATGGCACCATGCTCGGCCGGCGACGAGCGCACCATGGCCGCCAAATCCACTAAAAATCTGAGCAAATCGTATCTCCTGCATGTGTCTGCCAGTCGAAACGCACGCCCCGGGCGAGGGCGTGGACGTCGGGGAGGGTCTGGAGTGGCGCCTGCCTAAGCCTAAGAATCACGTACTCTGAGTTTGCAGACCTCTGGACAAGCCAGCAGCGGATGCATGTCAAAGAACCCCACAATCCGGGTTGCTTCTGCTGATCGCCGCAACTGTCAGATGTGCGTAGAAGTCACTGTAGAACATGCTCTTGTAAACATCAATGCAAGTCTGCTTCGTGCTGGGCACGGGACTAAGCTTACACTGTAGGGTTGCGGTGTGGTTGGAGTATGTTCTACGATTCCACAACACAGATATGCTGCATTGCTTCTGCGTTGTGCACGAAAAAAGCACCAACAAAAATACCGCGAGTCCCAACGCTGGTGAGTCAGCCTCCACTCCTCCAAGCTCGTCTCAAGCCGTTGTCCTCCTCAACATTCGGGAAACCGAGCTGAGGGTTGCAAGCTGCACCGGCCAACCCCAAGCCTGAACTTAAGCGAAAACTCTCTACTAGAGCGACTATGAAATAGTGCAACGATTAACAGGATAACGAGACGTCGTAGCACCTGTGCTGCAGCAGGAACAGCTACTACGCCTACTCTATATGTAGAACTGCTACTACTACTGCTACTGCTACTACTACTGCTACTACTGCAACTGCTACTACTACTACTACTACTACTACTGCTACTACTACTACTGCTACTACTGCTGCTACTGCTGCTGCTACTGCTGCTACAGCTACTGCTGCTGCTGCTACTACTACTACTACCACCACTACTATACTCCTGCTCCTGCCACCGCTACCGCTGCCGCTACACACCGCTACACACTGCCACCGCATAAGAGTACTAATGCCTTTATGCCTTGTACTCGTGCAGCTTGCCTTGCGCCGCGGTTCCGCAACTCTCGCCTACCTCGGGGCTCGGGCGCTGCTTTTGATTGACTGAAGTTGGCTAAGCTGAAGCAGAGGCTTAACAAGGCAATGCGGGTGAGAAGTTGAAGGCTTGGGCTGTTTAGGGTTCCAACACTGGCCTGCGCACCAGGCGACCAAGCTGGTCCCGGACCGTGAATTGAGCCGGGCCTAGTTTAGGACTAAGACTTCTACATGTAACGGGATCCTCTCTGAACGCTCTCTCATTAGTCTGTGCACCCAACCTTGTCAGCCTGGCTGTGGCGGACAGTGGGAGCGAACCTGGCATTTCTCGGGCTCAGAGGTTTAGGGCCTCCGGCTTGAGAATGCAGGGCTTGGTGGCATGAAAGGTCTAGGTGTTCGTGAGTTTAAGATGTTGGGGAAGGGTTGATGCATGGAGTCGTGGCTTCAACATGCGCCAGCTGCATAAACGATCGCTCCTCCGACCTGGTCTCTGTCCCTACGACCCTATGGCTCTTTGGACTTAATTCTTTACGGTCTTTTACCCCGGTCGTAGCAACTTTACGAGCAGCAACATAAATGAATGCAAGCGATTCTCGGCATTAGGGCCACTTGCACAGTTCTTATTGCAACAACGGGCGTCTGTTTTTGGAGGGTGGGGCACTTCAGGAAGGAACACCGGTCTAATTGCGTCTAAATGACTACCCATCCTCCTCTGCGACAATTTCTTCCCCAATGTGAGTTTCAAGCTGATCATGCATCCCACTGAGGCCCGAAAATTTCAGCAATCAAAGAAGAAAACCCCAAGGTATCGCACCATAACACGGGTGATCACATGCGTTCTTCTCTCAAAACCTTAACCTCAAAACCCGAGGGCCTCAAACGCTGAAATGTCCGACCCCACACTGTTCATTTTGTGGTGTTCTGGGATGTGTCTTGGAGGTTTGCACAAGGCTGGGCTACCCAGCTTGCCTCTGCTCGGTGGAAAGACATCGGCCCGTGTCAGCCCGGCCGTTCCTTGCAGAAGCTGCAGTCACAGCTACCATAATTAGGTGTCTTATTCGATGTTCCCGTGCAGGACAACAGCAAGCAACTACTGTTCAAGATATTAGGCTCATAGTCATGCAGATGGCGCAACTGGGCTGGACCATGGTCCCCTAAACCTAAACCCTTACCCCTTGCGCTGTCCCGTCTTGTAGGGCTTTATTCGGGGTTCTGCCGCGAGTTGGGGAGCTTGGTAGAGGTCGAGAGAGCTTCGGTGGGGTGGATTGTAAGCAGCCACTTCTTTCTTTTGCTGCACCTGATGTATGTGTAGGCCTGAGCTCGTAGACAAGCGCACATTACACCCCAGCCAGTGCTCTGTATGTGTGTCCCATGCACATGTGCAACATACACTGTGCACAGCAGGTTCTGCACGTGCAATATAGTGTGTGTGTGTGTGTGTGTGTGTGTGTGTGTGTGTGTGTGTTCAGCATATATAGGTATATGTTTATACAGTTGTATACACAAAAAACAACTCTTTTGCAATAAGGGATCTGTGGCATTCGGAATTCCGCAAACTTGGTACTTGCTACACCCTGAGCCCTCGCTCCCCATGTGTCGCCACCCGACACCTCGGACTTTCAATTCGCGAAACCCTGCAGCCAAAAACCCATCACACAACCCCATACAACCCAGTAGCTCGAAAGAAACCCTACCGAACCCAAAGCAGAACAAAACTAGAAGCTTCGCATAGGCCCCTGCAAAAAAAATAAAGTGCCCATAACTCGAAAGGTTCGAAACCTATCAGATCTTCCAAGGCCACGGCCGCCATGCGCTTTGGGGGGTCTGTCGTAGGATCGCCACCCAGGGTATCAAACCCGCCCAAAACCCCTTTGAGGCTGTATGCCTGCATGTAGTAAGTAGTAGTCGTCGTCGTTCGAAATAGTAGCAAGAACACACCGCAGGGCTACCGGTGCAGAGCTGGGTTTGGAGCTTCAGCTTCAGTGTCTCGGAGACTTAGGGTGTGATGGAGTCCCGCATATCCCAAACTCAAGGGCCCAGACCTTCACAGAACCCTTCATGAAGGCATATACCGTAAATGACATTAGGGATCGTACTGTACTTTAAAGTCTATTTCGTATGAATTGAAGCGATATTGGGGGGGGTCAGTTGTCTGTCCTTTTTCGTTGGGACGGAGGAGGGGTATAAGGTCTTCAAGACCTGCAGAGCTTTGAGGATGCTAGTACGCAGCAAGCCGTTAACCGTCGGCCTTACTGACTAGACCCGAAACCCTAAACTGAAAACCTTCACGAGAAAGACCGGGATGTTGGACTCTCTGATTTGAACCCTGGACCCTAAACCTTAAACCCAACCCTAAGCGCTCGACCCTAAACCGTAAACCCTAAACCCGACAGGTTTCTTTTGCATGTGGGATTTGGGTTCCCAGGGCGTCGATATATTTCTGCTATGGGTTTGGGTCCCAACAGACCATCCTTAGTATGGCTTTGGGGGCCTAATTCCATAAATAACAGTAGTATACCCTAAGGGTCCATGTACTCAAATAGTATATACTTTGGCCTCAAAGTAGTCCCTATATAGGTACTTTGGGGCCAATGTATATATTATATGAGTACATGGACCCTTAGGAATATATATATATATATATATTCCCCTCTACGGTTTGGTAGTTTGGACTTGAGACTCAGGTTTACGGTCGAGATCAGCAACCATGCATGGGCTGACCCTCTGGCATGGGCATAACCCAGAGCTTCTAACTAACACGACTGGGGATAGGTATACTAACCTCAAACGCAGTACTATGTACTTAGAAAGCCCGCACACACTAGAACCTGTCTCACAGCCTTGTGAAGCCGTGTAAACCACTTCTGTAACCTACAGAATACACTTACGGGCTCCACAAAAACCCTTGCAAGGAGAGAAGGGCCGTTCCCAGGGACAGC